TTAAAAGGGAAAATAATCTAGATGTCTTTTAATTGGATAGTTTAGTTTTAAAAGACCTTGTAACAAGAGTTAGCCATTTTGTACCTTGCTAATGAAAGCTGCTGAACTCATGGTTGTGAGACTGTTTCACTGATAAGAAATAATAAACACGTTAGTCCTAACATGAAATGCTGTCTCAAATGCCTTCAATCCCAACCTTGAGAAACTGATACACCTGGTTGTGGCTTCTGGAGAGCTGATGTTGAGCCTTTATGCTACCACAGCTTTGTAGCGATACATCTGTGTATCACAGCTGTGAAGCAATGAGGGTAAGAGCCTGCAAGGTTTGTTATAAGCAAATCATGGCTTTGGTCTTGTAATTGGCACCACATCTGTTAATAATTATTCTGACATCACTCAATTTTGTTGAAGGTGCAGATGCTGTAGTTGATAACTCATAATCATGAGTTAGACCTTGGTTTCTTCCAAAATACCTTCTTTCATCTGGCTTTGTTTGTCAGTTCCCATTTGTAGATGAATGAATGATCTGTGGCAGTTTACATCTGCATAGCCTGCAAGGCTGAGTAGTGCTGTCCCTCATAGCACATTTACTGTAGTCTTGCAGAAAAATAATATTTCATATTTGGGCATGTAGAACTAATCAAGCTATCCAGCTGCTGCAAGTGTTTCCCTTGTTAGAGCTTATCAGAGCTGAGGAATGAATAGTTCTTTTATGAAAGTGCAGTGCAAGCATCAGAAAACTTAATGTGCATCAATTGCTTGCTTGTGATGATTAATAGGCTATGCAATAAAAGATTTCACTACATATTGCCAAAGCAATGCCAACATGACATTGTTTGATCAGTCATCTACATCGATAGAAGGCAGAGTTTGGACATCTGTCATGTGTAGGTTAGCTGGGATCTGCTCAGCTCACATGGCATTAGACAGAGCAACATCCTTCTCAGCAGGATGGCTCACCACTTTAGATATTTGGTGCTTGTGTTACAGACAAGCTTCCCTGGACCTCGGGACATAAACACTTCTGGACTCCTCTTAGGAGGCTGATTGGTAGAGTAGCATGAAATAAGCCCCAGAGGGAAGAGGGGCCCCAAAAAATTGATTGATACTACCGAATCACTTACTCCGAGCTTATTAGTGATGCATACCAATGAGGAGGAAGGCAGAAATACTAGAAGGCCTGTGTGGATAAGCAAGTTTCTTCTGGACAAGCTCAAACATGAAAAGGAAGGCTATGAAGGGTGGAAGGCAGTGACAGATACCCTGGGAGATATATAGACAAGCTCTTTGAGCAGACAGGTTAGGAAAGCTAAAGCCATGGTAGAATTAAATGTAGCCAGGAATGTCAATGGCAGCAACAAAATCTTCTGTAGCTACATGGTGATAAAAGGAAGACTCAAAGTAAATGGCATATTTGGTCACTTGGGATATGGAGAAGGCTGAGGTACTCAATAACCTTTTTTTGCCTTGTTTTTCACCAAGTGCTCCAGCCCACACCATTGAAGTCATGGCAGCAAAGGCAGGATCTGGGAGAGTGAGGAACCACCAGCTGTAGGAGAACATGTTGAAGAATCCTCCAGCCCATCACTGAGATCTGTGTGATTATCAAATTAATTATCTGGCAGCTGGTTTGGCAGCACATTTCCTGCTTCACTATATTTTAATCATTAGCAGCAGCACTGTGAGCTGCAGTGAAGTCTCACAGTGACAAGGACTTATGTGAGGGTTAGCCTTATGGTTGTGTGTGTTGTGTGAACATGGGCTATGTTGTATTCACTGACAGGAAAGGATGAGTGCAGCTAGTTCTGTACAGCATGACCTTCCTTAGCAGTGTGCCAGGCTTTAAAGGACTTGTGTTCCTGGGGTGACTGGCACCAGGTAGCAACACATGATGCCACTCTTAATATTCTTTAGCTCTTCAGACTTTGCAGTCATTTGCACCCTAGAGTTGTCTGCTCTGACAGCGGCACCTGTATTTCAGTTACCTGTGGGTTTGATGTAGAACTGTCACAGCAGGTAACACCAAAAGCAAAGAGTTGTAATGCAACTTCAGACAGTATCTGGAGCTTTGCAAGCTGTAAAAGAAAGCTGTGACTGCTCTGGATTTCCCTGCGACTGTCTACCTGAGACTGTCTATCCTGAGACTGTCTACCTCCTGCGTTGCACTAGCTATTGTGAAAGCCAGGAGTCACAGAATACACACAGTGCATATTAGTGATTAACTTTGGAGGTGAAGAATTCTTCAAGTGAATAAATTATTAATTTATTATAGTTATTTTATAATCATCAGTATAATTATTTAAACAAGGTTTGAAACACAAAATATTTTGCAGTTTAGAGGGGGTCTTCAACTGCAGTTGTAGTTTGTCTGTTACAGACTGCTGCCATGGATAAAAAAATAACCATTCTAGAATAATTCACTGCAAAAATATTTGAATGCTGTTACAGAGATGATGTATGTGCTAGGTAAGAAGTAATTTTCTACTATTAGAAGGTGTAGCAGCATTTAATGCTTCTTTGACATGAGCCGAACAGAATATTTTTTGAAGTAAATCCTATTTCTATGCATCTCCTAAAAGCTGCTTACAGTTTATTTGACTTTTAAACTAGCAATTATTTTTTAGAATAAACTGTAATTTGTTTTTCATTAATCAAAACAAATATCCTGACTTTGAATGCAAAAGAAGGTCTGACCTCAAATTTGATTGTTTTTAGATCAGGAGTTAACACTTAACCAAACCAAAGTACTTCCAGTTTTCTGTCCACAGTTAGGAAATGTCTGCTGAACCAGTATCAGTGGGTTTTTTGAAGAGTTCTGGAAGCAGTTCTCTCCAGGGTATGCTTGTGTGGTGGCTTGTTTGAGGGGTTATTTTAGTAAACTAAACTTGAAAATGTGCTAAAGCTGTTAAAAATTGCAGTCTCATTGACATACAGCTGTTTTCCTTTCTTACCCTGTATCTGACATTGAGCTCGCAATTTATTAGATGTTTGCTAGATTGTCTACTGAGTGACTGGGGACTGGTGTGAGTTTTATCTTGAAGAAACAAAGCAGGCTTTATATTTTAAATCTGATTGCTTTGAAACATGAAATTACCAATGCTCAGCTCAGAGCACGAACCATACACCAGTTTGATGAAACAGACTGAAATGTCCTGCAGTGCAGTCTAAAGACACTTGCTAACTGTGCTGCTATTGGTGTCACTGACCAAAGTTAGATTACCAGCATGCCCAGGGCAGCCTTGATGCCTGGACCCATCCTGGGTCTGCATGTGTTGGATATACTGTTAAGGGTTGCCACAGTTTGTACCTGTGCTGTAGATGAAGAGTAAAGCTGGTTTAGTAAGATGAATCCAGCTTTAGCTGATATATCTGTCACATCTGAAGAAGTTTGTTGGAGAATTGGCAGGGGATTCAGATGTCTTTTGCTGCCTCTGTGCTTTCTCATTCTGGTCTTTCTGTTGTGACAGTCTTGGGGTCCTCTTCAACAAATAAAGTAACTAATCTTGGCTGATGATTTGTCTCATCATGTTGCACAAGTCCTTAAAATAGCCCAACAAACCACATATATTCTGGCACTTACGATTATGCTTCCTGCATTTAAAAATAAAGAGTGCTCTCTGGAGGTTTATATTTTTTCTCTACCCATGAAGGTCTTTCAGTGTTCTTCATCCTGAATGAATAAATCTAGTTTTCATGCAGACCAGTCCCTAAATGTTTCTGGTGCATTCAGTTTTCCCGAACTTGATATTTCATCAGCTCATATGTTATACTACTTGTTACAGATAAACAAAGGTGCTTTACTTGAAACAGATTAATCCAAACACTTGTAAGTATTCACCAACACTTGTAGTGTTGGTGGCAACTGCTTGTGTTTGGAATGTTTAGTTGGTAAGAAATGCATGGATTAAGTTGGTTAGAGATGCATGGGCTACATGTCCTCATAGACTGCCCAAGCAGTATTTCCTAGTTCTTTGTGGATGTACCTTTCTAGGGCAATGTTCAATTCCTTGAACATGGAATTAAACAGTTGCATTTAATGGCACTGGATGTTTTAAAATATTTCTGAGTTTTAGCTTGGTTGGTCAGTTTGTTTGCTTGCTTTTGTTTTAGCAAGACCTGGTCATTGAATAATGTGGAGATTGATACATTAAAGTTTCATCTTAATTTGGAAAATATTATATAGGCTCTTGTGACCCTAGGGGAACCACTTGTAGTCCATGCTCTTCTAATACTTTGTTCTTATTTATCATTGTTAGCCTAGATTGTTCTTTATTCTCTTACTTATCTGTCCATGTTATCTATCTCCTGTGATTTCTTGTTGTGTCCCTTCTTGTGCACTGTATCAAACTAGTAATATGTCTTCGTATACGATTTTGAAGTCTGCATATAAATGTGGGGGGAGATGAGCTTTCAGTCTGTCCTTTTCTCTATGAAAATGAGGGTGTTGGTGGCAACTGCTTGTGTTCTGAATGTTTAGTGGGTAAGAGATGCACGGATTTAGTTGGTTAGAGATGTACCGACTATATGTCCTCATAGACTGTCCAAGCAGTTACTCATGATTCTCTATAGAAGAGGTGGCAGGTTGAAGGTACAGGACATGAATATAATTGAGGAGAATATATTTAGAATCTAGTGAGTACATGATTTGACATGTCAGTAGTTGAAAGAGTTCATGCTAATTGTAAATATCACTGAAGTTCTGTGCTAATGAAGATCTTGAATTGTCCAGCTTGAGAAGCCCTTTTCCTTACCGTGTTCTGTTTTTAACACAAGGTCAGTGAAACATTGAAGGATGTAGGTGACATTTGATAAACACATAAATAAAGTAAGAACTGAAATGGCTAATGAGAACCTTTTTGCCACTGTCAAGAGCTTTGGGTTTTTGTCCTGTGGAATACCAGATAAAGGGTTTGTGGGTTTTTCTGCAATACCTGCTGTTTAGAGCAAGCTTTGGTAACAGATCTTTTACTAAAGCTTTTTTTTTATTTTTCTTGATTTAGAATGACTTTTCCCATGGTGACTGCATGTCAAGTAATGAGACCAGTTTGCTAGAACGAACCACAGCACCTCGTGATGGGCTCCCAGTGGCTTCCCATAGACCTCAGCGAGAAGGTATGTTGTCTGAGCTTTCTTTTGAGAAAGGCTTTTAAGGGTTTCCTTGAACATTAAACTCTGCTTGGAGTTGTAGGCATCTTGTATCTCTCTTGCTGTTCATCTGAACAAGAAGCTGCAGTGATTGGTAAGTAAAATAGCTTCTCTGCCACCTACCTGGTCTTTTCTTTGCTGTAACAAGTTGTCATTTGTGTTAGCTTCTAACTGCTAGTGAATGCCTGCATGAAAATTGGCTGTAAATAGGCTTCCCACTGAAAAAAAGGGTAGAATTTGGTGAAAAACAGAACACATAATGCATTTGTATTAACAGTGTTTAGGTTTTTTTTAAACAAAGATAAACACAAAAATATTGGGAAGTAGTAGCAGATTTTGCTGCTTGATTCGGTTGTATTTGATTAAATAAAGCAAAAAAAGCCCACATATTAGCAGTGTTACAGAAATGGCAGTTTGGAAAAGTGAAAGGCTTCATAGAAGTAAGTGTTTTGGCTCTGTTGGGGAGAATTAGAACAAGGCTTCTGAGCATTATCAAAACTCTTGATATGCAATTTCTCTTTGAAGAAATGAGCATTACTGAAAACAGATTTATTCTCAACCTTTATTCTTCAAGAGGATTAGCAAGTTACTTGTCTAATCAAAATTAGTCAACAGATAGTCTGCAGATAGGAAGGAGGCAACAATATGAAAAAATTATTTCTATTCATTTTGTCCTCATAAATGTCCTTTTGTCTCTAGTGTGGAGATTTAACTGCACTTTGAAGGCAGGCAGTTTGATTCCTTGGAAAAAAAAACACAAGAGAAAGATAATGGCAGATTACAGACAACAAACCTGTTTCAAATCCTTTTATGGAGTTCAAAGTGTTCATATGCATGAATTAGAAACCTAAAAGGGGGAATCTCTTTAGTAACACTCAAATTAAGTAATAGAAGCACAAAAAATTTGAATAACAATCTAGCAAAGAGCTTAAATATTTTTCCACATTTGTATTATCATAGTGAGAAACCACAGTGAAGGATCAGAATACCTTTGTGATACTTGCCACAGAGTTATGTGGTAGAGATTCCCTGCTGCAGAAATCTCCTTACTGGTTAGAAATACCACTGATAGTAAAAATTGGGTTTTATTCTCAGCTGTGATGAATATGAATTTTTAAATCTTAACTTAGACTTAGAATGGGAGCAGTGTCATGTATAAATGCTTTACTTAATCATCCTGGATGCATGTGCTGTGTCCAGAATAGAGGTGGAAATGTAACATGCCTCATTGGCTTGTGTATTCAAACTTTTCTTCCGGCCCAGCCATTTAGAATATTTAAAATGTCATTGTGGAGACAGAATTATAAGGGAGTCTGTTGAAACTGTAGAACTAAAGCTGTGCAGCAATTATGTTATATTATGTATTACGATGAAGCATGCAGCAGAAAGAAGTTAAGGAAGTTGAAGGTACTGCATTGTGTAATCAATTTCTTTGTACCTGAAGACAAATTTTTAGCATTGAGAACATTCAATAGTTTAAAATAAGCACAGTCTCATTAGGAAGAAAAAGCTTGTCTGTGAATGTTAATGGTCTTAGTTTCCTAATTGTGTGTGCTAAATATATGCATGTAGTGAAATGCAATTTAAACCACTATTCTCAGTTCCAGTCATGGGAATCAACTTCTTAATTAACTTATGAATATTAATTTCAGTATCGATTTGAATGTTAGCCACTAAGAAATTTTACTACAACAAAACTTGTTGTGCCACGGTCCTTCTTCTAACAGCACTTTAATCTATACCAGACAGCTAAAAACTAAGGTCACTAAACATTCATATTTTCATAAAATATTGATATTGTCTGGCATCCTTAGCTCATCTCAGATTTCTTTCCTTTGTAATAATAAATAATCCTTAACTGGTAAAAATGAAGTGCTTGTCTGTCTTCCTAACTCCCAGCTAGAGGATTACAAACAGTGTACACCACCACATTCAATATTTGTCTCTCTACTAAGAAAATTTGAAGCTGTAGCCCTATTACTGGGCTTTTTTGCTGGCTTATTGTTCCTTTATGGAAATTGCTAATACTTAATTATCTTAGAAATGGCATGTTTGATGGGGGTGAGACTTGAATTTTAACTGTAATGAAATTATTTATAAAATGTTTACAGTATATTAGATGATAATTAGCTAATATCCATTAATAAGTTTTGCAACATACAATTGCAGGAGGTTTAATTTTTTTTTAGGAAGAAACACTGTTGTTATGAGTAGTTCCCAATATATCCCATGTAAACATGCAGTTAAAAATTGAAAGGAAAACATTAACTGTTAACACCACCCACCTCCCTCCAAAAAAAGGAGTTTCTAAAGCATTGAAAGAGGGAGCATTGGTGATGTAGGGCAGGTCGAGCTGCTTCTAAATAATTTATTTTTTTTTACATATAAAGATGTGTTCAGGCTTCCACTAGAATAAAATTCTGTTGAATTCTTAGGCCAGCACAGCAGCGAAAGTGGAAAGCCCATCTCAGCTACATAAAGGTTTTTATATGGAGTATTAACTGAACAATGCTGTGAGCCCTCAAGAAAATCTCCAGGCCCTGAAAGCCATGTGGTGCTGTAGTTTGCCAGGTCACAGCCTGAACTCACCTATTGTTGTGTTACAGTAGGCTGTGGGGAGGGAATGTGAAAGTAGTGCATACTTATAGTACCTTTTTTCCCCTCTTAGCTCAGTTCAATGACACTCTGTACAGCACAGCTGTCAAAGCTTTCTGCTTCTTCTTCTGTTTGCTGATACTCATTTCTGTCTCCTTCAGTCCTTCCCTAACTGTCTTCTTTCACCTAAATACCCTTCAGAAATGTAGTTATTTGGCCTTAGTTTGCCCTCATTTACTACTTGATGGTTCTGATACCTAGGTGTAGAAGGCACTGTCTGTTTTTTATCAGCACTTGTTACTTCTTGGAGTAAAGATTAAAGATACAATTTTACTTCCTTTTATTATCTTTTCCGCTTATAGTGGTTATATTGTTGTAGTTATGTGACATTTGGTCTAAATAAGCTTTTGGGTAATGCATAGATTCTCATGATTTGTGCCAAAGAGGTTGTCATTAGGCCAGAGAAATACTTGGAGAGAGCAAGGTTCTACCTGCTCCTGGCAGTTTGTTGCAATAAAACAGCTCCTAAGGAAGAGTCGTGCTGTGTGCATCAGGATTTAGCCTATAGGCATGCTCAGAGAACCTGGGAAAGTAAGGAATGGCTTGCAAATTGTCAGTTTTGGAGTGCACAATAAGGTGTTTTTCTTTCAGCTGTACACATTGAGAAGATAACCCTGAAAGACGTATCGAGAAAAAGGGCTGACAAACATTTGGAGTACACATTCAAAGTAAGCAAATAACCTCCAGGATGTTAAAATTATTGTTTATGTACTGTAGATACATACAGCTTGTTTCAAAAATCTTCAAAGGAGGCAATATTGATATTCTTTGGATTATCTTGTAATTCTTTTGAATTCTGTGTGCAAATCAGGTGTTTTATGTAATTGTGGACGTAAAGCATGAGGGCATAAAGTGGGAAGGTGTAAAACATCAGCCGTAGCTGGTTCAGGAAACATTGTTTTTTCTAATACATAAGAATTCTAAAACTAGTCAGTCATTTGCTCACGTGGCACAGGAGCACAGTTGTACCTGCAGCTGTGGATTGCTTGGAGTCACATGGTCATCTTGGATCTTATTTCTCAGTGTTTACCATATGAGAGTGGGTCCTGTGCTTTTTGAGAAACTGGAGGTTGGTGCCTTTGTTTTGGACTTCGTTTCTTAAGGCAAAATGGTCATGAACTAGTCAGCCTACCTAATATAGTCTTCATTTATTGTAGTAGCAAAGGGGAGGATGTATTAAATAATAGTTACTAAGGCTGTTCGTGGTGATGTTTTAGTTGAATCGAAGTAGCAATTTTTTTTGGCAAAGGCTGACTAACACTATGAGTCATTGTGCCAATAGATGTGAATCAGGTCTTATACCAGATTTGAAGATAAAGTTAAATGTTCCCATTTTTCACCCAAAAAAGAATGGTTCGCATCAAACATTCTAACTGGTCATTTGACATGGCGGAGGTCTTTGAAGAAGCAAATTTTAAAAAAGCCATTATGAGCTGGAAGTTGATGTGTTGATCCCAGAGTTTGGTATTGTATTCTGTGATATAGTATTCTCTAAATGGATGCACTCTTCTTTTGTTGAGGACAGTAATTCAGATTTTGTTGAAGACAGCCTTCAAAGCTATCTGGCCAAATATTTCAACTACATCATACATTTTTTTCCAAATAGTCTGTGAAGTGAGTACAAAGTAAAATACAGTAGGAGATGGGGAAAGTTTGTACAGAATGCCTATATGAATTATCAACATTTAAAGTCAATAAACTATTTTAAAGATTCAGCATCTAGACAGATTTGATAATGGTTTTGAATTTCTTTGTTAAAGGGAAAATGTGGAGATATTCTGGGAAGTATTTCAGTAATCTTGAAACTCCACCTCAGTTATTTTAGGAAAGAGTTTCCTTTCCTCATCAGTGCAGGTATATTCTGTGCTCTTCACTGTAGATAATTTTGTGCTTGCCCAGACACTGCTTTTGTAAGGTTGTAACAGCAATTGCAGTCATGGCTACCCAGCTGAGGACACAAGGGTAGCTGGCATTTCTGCAGACTAAGTTGATGGCAGTTGGTGGGTGACATTACTCTATCAACTCTTGAGAGTAAATGAATATTTATAATTGCTGTGTCCACTCCCATTACCCTGAATCTTCCCATGTAACTAATTGGAATCTTTGGCTGAGAAGTGGGCTTAAAGCCAGGCAGCAGTCATCTAACCAAGCTCACTTATTTTTTACTCAAAACATGCATGTGAAGGTGCTGTTTTACTACTTGCATGTCATGCCAGAGCAATAAGCTGCTGAAATTTTATATAGGCATATGCCAAAATTATGTCTGAGTGCCTTCTTTAAGTACTTGCAGTACTTTTTATGATTTGTAGCCTAAAACAACTTCTATATGACTGTGTAAGATTTGAGTCTGAGGCAGATAAAATTATTTTTTAGGTAATATAAACTGAGATTTTTTTTTTGTTTCAGTTTGACTCCTGGTAATGACAGTGAGAGTTCAAACCAATATATCTGACCTACAATCCTTTTCTCTGGTACCTATTTTTTGTAGTTAATTATTTCTGTTTGATACAAGTCCCATAATTACAGAGCCTTCTGGCTGGCTTCTTTCTGAGTCTTCAGGGACTTCATTGTATTTCCTTGAATTTGTCCATGCTCCCTTTAGCCACAAATATTATGAAGGTGATCTTAAAATACACACTCAAAATTAGTATGTCTTTGAAAAAGTACAGCCTTATCCCTGTTTTGCCTGGTGTTTGCTTAATCGCAAGTCTTAACTCTGAGATTGTCAAATTTCTAACAAGGTATTTGCTATGAAATTCGGAAAAAGGAGCTTTCCTCATTCTTTTTTCCTTCATTCTAGGTAACTTGGTCCGATTTTTCTGTAACATGTGTAACAAAAACACATCAGGAGCTTCAGGAATTCCTGCTAAAAGTACGTATTCAAATAGTAAAGTAGTGTTTGCACATCAGGTTTATAACTTCAGAAGTAGTCTAGGAGAGCTGTGATTTCTGGGGTGTAATTATAGAAACAAAAGCATGCCAGCAGAGTTTTGTAGTTCACAATTACATTAACCATTCAATTATATATATTGGAGTGAAGGATCTTGACAGAAGAAGCAGCCCTGCAGAATGTTCGGGGGGTTTCCCAGGAGGTGATTGTCTCATCCAAAATGGTGCTTAGAGTTTTAATTGAACTACCAAAAAACTGCCAGATGAGTTTTCAATATTCCCCACAGAGCTCATGTATAGGTCCAACCACTGGTCATTTGCTTGTGTTCCTGCTAGAAGGCCCTAAAGAGTATAATTTGTTATGTTTAATTAGTGAGACACAGCCATAAGCATAATAATTTTTAATTTATCTGTTGTGTTCCTCAATAGAGCAAAGGCTGGCCTATTCATCATCACAAGGAGTTCGACTTGAGGAAAATCTAGCAACTACATATGCATGTGTATCCATGTTTAAAAAAACTAAAAGTTCTCTCAGTTGTTTTCCCCTCTGCTCTGATCAGAGAATACAGTTCTGTGCATAGGCCACATGCAGACCACATCAGTGTGATGATCTTGAACTGTATGTTCATTGCCACTGTCTAATATTTTGGGTTCCACCTATTCTGGGAAGTTATTCTATATTTAAACTCTTCCCAACTCAGGGCAGTAATGAGAGATCTGTTTCGGACATTTTTGATGGTATCTGGTTGTTCTTAACTTCAGTGTTAATTGCGAGTGGAAAGCCAGTCACTGTACAAAGGTCATTGTCTTGTTCACTGTTTAAATTATCAACATTGTTTTCTGGTATTCCAGAAATTAAGCAGTGAATATTCACAACTGCTTTAATCTAGTTGAATATCTGGTTCTAAGAGTTCCCAGAGCTTAGTTTGTGAGGATTTGATTATGGATGGCATGTCTATATGCAATTAGGTTATCCCAAAGCTTAGGGTACATGCATCTGCACCTAAAGAGAACCCTAAAAACAGCATTTTATACAGGGTCCTGTGCAGCTCTGGGATGAGCATTCAGATGCATGCCACCTGTTCTCCCACTTGTGTAAGACAAACATCAGTGTCTGGAATGGACCTCCTAGAACCTACTTGCTTCCTAGAGGAGCCAGGAAAACAGACATGATCCAGAGTGTTGAAGGGTTATGCTGTTTGACTGATAAAGGGTGTTCCATGTGCTGGCTTGACTGCTCCAGCAGTGTCTAGGAGATGGCAGAACAAGAGGAAGACAATCAAAAGGTGCTATGAGCTTCCTGAGGTCTTCTGTGGAAAATGTGCACAGCTGAAAAATATGTTTGGTTTCTGCAGGTTTGATAGCCGTAGGCATAGAAGTAAGAGAGGATTGTTAAATAAAGCAGGACAGAACTTGCTTGCTTTAATAAACATAAAGTACAAGTGTCCACTTCATATGCCCTTGCATTTTGGCTTTTTGTTGTTCTTGTTTCAACCTACATGGCATTGTTAAATAGTATGCTTAGGTTCCGAGGGACAGAAAAGAATGGTCAAAACACTTGATGGAAGATTCCAATGCTGCATGTGATAGAAATAAGATAATGGTAAAAATTTTTTCAGACTAGAAGCATTGATGGGAAAACTAAGGTAGTAAATGGCATATCTTGGATGCTTTATATTAAAGACTGGCTTCTCTTAGGTGATAAGCATGAAAAATTCTTTGCAAGTAGGAAATTACCCACGTATGTGGAAGGACTAATAAGCTTGTAAGTAAGGCTGTCCCATTACCTTAAGCTAAGCACCTAATCTTAGGTTCGTATAACGGAATCTTTAACTACAGAAGGAATTCCTTTTAACAGAAATTTTAAAGACAAGAAGGTAATTGTTTCCAGAAACAAATCTACATTACAAAATACTAGGATAGGAGATTTGCTCATTCCACACTTCTGCAGTAACTTCCTGGTACCTTTTGGCGAACACTGACTAATTCTTCAGTCACAGTTTCTCTGTAATACGTATTAAAGCCAAAGTGTCTGTTAAGAACAGCTGCTTTGAGTCCATTTGGTTTTTGATCTAAGACATTTCAGGTGCTGTAGCACTTTACTAACATAATACTAACAGCTCCTGTCTGTCTGGATTCCAGGAGTTCCTCTTATATATATTACCAAGCAATTATCTTCAACAGACACAGCATCCCTCTGTTAGTACCACTTCATTCAGTGGAAGAATTACTGAGTGCTGGGCTGTTCCAGTAGCTGGATGCAATATCCAGCTGGCTCTCTGGGTCAGGTGTATTACAGATATACAAGAGGAAGATGCTGCTCTAGTGTAAATTACTTAGTGTTGTTGATCATAACTGGTGGCAGATGTTAACCACATTAGCAATAGCTTTGAACTTTAGTAAAAAAAAAAAGTGTTTTTCAGTGGCAGTTTACTCTTAATTTCACCATATTAAAATATTTTTTTTTTAATGTAGAGGAACAAATTTGATCAGCTTTGATGTACTTAAATACAATATTTGGAAGACGTAAGGGTGAAAAAACTTTGTTCTGGGGAATGTTCTTAATTTAAAACAGACATGCTCTAAAGTAGCAAGAATTTTGCCTTCTCTACCAGAACATCAGAAGGCCTCTTTTTGTAGTATTGGCATTGGAAAGTTATGACGAATTTTGATAAGAAGTTTCAGTGTTAATAGCGACTGGGGCGGAACTTGATATTGATTAATCTCAATGTTGCCTGGTGAGGCCTAATGTATTAAATAACTGAAATGGTTTCCTTTCTACTCCTGTTTATTTAAAATAGTTTAGTCTAGCTAAGTGATGATAGTGAGTACAGTGCATTCGGTCATGCCTGGTTATTTTTTTTGTGTTATTTTCAGAACTAATTTCTATATGTGAAAGATTTAAAGAAATAAATGAAAAATAAAACGGCTATAAACTATCCTGGAAAAAAAAAAAAGACTGTGAACTATCCTGGAAAAGACCATAGTATTTGGTAGATTTCCGAATATAATTATTTCAAATAGAGCTTTAAACAGTTTTATGCCTGGATTTGCTGTGAGGATTTACGGCAAAGTGTTTCTCTTACAGAACTAGATGATGTTGATTTATTGTACCTTTGGTCTCTAAAATACATCACTCAAACTGAAACAATTGAGTTTCTTGTTGATACCAAAAGGTATAAAGACTCATAGTGAACAAATATAGTCTTTAAAATATCAACTACTCATTTTTCACATTAACCTTTTTCTCAGCTCCCAAAGGAACTGTCTTCTGAAGCATTTGACAAGACTATTTTAAGAGCTCTAAATCAGGGTTTTCAGAAGAGGGAAGAACGAAGGCATGCTGATCTTGAGCCCATAATCAGGTAAATGTTTTAGCAAATAGCCTGAAATTCATCACCAGAAAAGTGATTGAAGTCAAGCTAGAAGACTCCTATGGACAGTGAAAATTCTGCTACCTAAACCAAATTTGCAAAGAAAGTGGGAAGGCAGTGATGAAGTAGATACTCTTGACTCTTAGATTTTCTTTAAATGATGACTTTTTCTAAACTTCATAGAATTACTTCTTTCAGAGTAATTGCACAATTATGAAAATATTTGTCCTAAGCAGCATTATATAGCAATGATTGGCATTTGTGGAAGGATACTACCTTCCTTACACAAGGGTATATTTAGAAATACTAAAAACAGTAACTCAGAGCACATATGTTCTACTTTTTATGACAGGATAGCGTGAGAGACAGAACAGAAATCAAAAGGAATAAACAGTAATAGTGAAGTATGTATACAAAATTAAAAGTAGCTTGTGTATTTCTAAGAAAATGGCCCCTATCTCATTTACCTGCTATTTAGTGATGAGAGAACTTGGTGGTCAAATTCTATAATTCAGAACAGTAATGTGAATTTGGGTTTGTCTACTTGGGTTTTTTGTTTTGGTTGGTTTGTTTGGTTGGTTTTTGTTGTTGTTGTTGTGGGGTTGTTGGGGTTTTTTTGGTGTTTTTGGGGGTTTTTTTTGGTTGGTTGGGGTTTTTTTTGTTTGGTACAGATAACCTTGTTATATTTGTCCTTTTCAGTCAAGATTGTTCAACTTTGTTGAAAACAAATTATTCATCATGTTAGGCAGTGTCTCTTGAGGTAGTTGAGGAATCAGGCACTGCTTTTTAAACTCCTACTCATAATGTTCTGTTGGTTCTAGCATTTTGTTCTAATATTTTAGTTAAAGAAGATTTGGAGCCATTCTGAGCCTCAACTACCCCCTTGCCAATTTTTTTAATAAATCTTGATCTATAGTATTTATCTGTCTTTATTGACTTGATTGTCAAGCCAAAAATTAATCTCTGTGAACAATTTTGGCTAATAAGCATAGTGGTTTTAAATCAATAAACCTGTTAAACAGAGGTTGACTGAAGGGAATGTATTGTAATACAGAAAGGTTGTGAAGATTCACTGCACAGTAATTACAAACCCAAGAGACTCATTTCAAAGATAACCTTTGAACAAACCGAACTGTGCTAGAGTAAGCAACTGTAATTACAATTTGCAGGTTGTGTTGTGACTATACTACACAACACAAATGCTACATTAATAATCTCAAGAAAATAGCATTACTGTATTCAAATTCCTTTTTCTTTCAGTGTCAGTTTTAGCATAAATAAATACTTATTTGGGGGTTTCAGTATATGCCCATTTGCCCAAAATTGCTCTCCCCTACCGCTTCTCCAAAGAAATAGAGCTGGGTAGTACCTCTTGGCAACTAATACCTGAAACCTTTGTGTGTGGGAAATGAAAACCATTCATTGTTGACCTATTTTCTTATTTGAAGCTAATAAAATTTGTCACTGACATCTTGGTAACTGACTCAGACCAGTGCAGAGCAATATTGAACATCTTGCCCTTAGATCTTGGAGATAATTCTGAAATTCAGATACTGACCTTATAGGTGAATTCAACTTTGTATTTAACCATACAAATGTATTTAAGAAAGAGAATTGTTTTGGGAAAATAAATGTGTTCTCAGTTTAAAAAAAAAAAGTTAAAACTGAGAGTCCAGTGCTTTTGGACTCAATCCAAACTCCTCTTTAATAAAATGTTACAAGTGGCTAAAATGTTTGAATTGGGATGACTCAAAAGCACCCACCTTTTTAAAATAAAAAAAATCATCATATTGATTGCTGATACTGACTGTACTCCAAGCTTACACTAGCGCTTAACAGCAAAGCTCAAAGGAGCTTTTAGCATTGTTGAATGTGCAGTTTGAAGCATTTGGACTTCTTAAGAACTGCCTATTTTGTTTTTAAATGGTACTGTAGTAAATTTTTGTGTTCTTCCTATGATTTTGTTGTTTAGTTTAACAAACTCTCACTTAAATTTCAGGCAGCTATTTTCAAATACATCACAAGCTTTTCTGCGGAATCAGAGAGTATACAACTTCTTCCAATCAATTTCATCAGAATCTTTGCACACTCACAGTAAGAAATATCCTAATACTGTTTTCTATAATGAAAAGTCTATAAAAAGCTAATCTTGCTGTTGTGCCTAAGTACAGTTCTACAATTTTTTGTTTGTGTGTAATATTCCACTGGTTGTATTTGAACTCCTGGTCAGTTAACAGTTTCTTGAGCAGATACTTATACTTTTGACTGTGGGAACATGCTATGTAGCATCAGCTTCTGTTCTTTTTCTTCATTCTTTCTTTCGTTCTTCTCTGTACCATCATGCTCTTCAAATAGACTGTTATTAATTGACTGGGTTCAACAGTTTGGCGTTTCTTCCTTTCACAAAGTCTTAAATTTTGGAACAAAAAGTTTGAACTGACATGAAAAATCACATCTGCTTTTTGTTTGTTTTCTTTTGTAGATTAAGCATCTGTATTGATATTTAAACTGAGATTTGTTTTGAGTACATAAATGATGGGATGTTCCTAATTTCAGAACATACAGAATTGTTTTTCAGTATTTGCTTTGCAGAGATTTCTTTGGTGGCCCTCTTAACCTACTTGTGTATTACAGTTGTTTGTGTGAGCAAAGCTTGGCTTCTCTGTATGGATGCCTTAGGATGTGATCTTTGTTTCCATTCAATCTTTTCTTATTTCAATGCATATTATACACCATGACAGTTGAGGCAGTAGCTGTGAGGCCACTGCCTCAGAAGTTGCCAAAGATCTTAGTAAGGAATTGAATCGATTGGAGGTTCCAAACAGATTGCTCATATTCATTTGGAAAAAAATAGAGGAATGACAGCAGACTTCAGTTTGAAATTGTGTGTGATCTGTGACAGGTGTATTTTTTCCATGGTGAGGTAGAAGCACTTTTACTAGGATAGAAGCTGTAGGTCACTTTGTAGCATTTTTCAGAAACACTTAGTACATCCTTACATGGCAGTTTTGTGAAAATGTTAAACTAATAACAATCAGGGTAATTGTGGAACTGGTTGGAATTTACTGCTGTAAAAATTGACATTTCTGTTATACTGAAAGGCTGCATGGGGAGGAAAGAGTTTCCAAAGTCCAGAAAGATTCATGTTAATGATGGGCACACTGGACAGGGTGTGCATATTTTAGACTGTAGACTACACCTGGTTGGGAAGGACTTGCAAATACATTGTTGTACATGGTAGTAGTTTGAAATGTTTTCAAAAAGGAACCAGTGCCAGATTCTATCTATCAAGACAGAGTTGACTAGGCAGAAACGATCTGCAGAGTGGGTAGATCAGAAGGAGAATAGACGAATGTCAATTCTGTTGGAAGTCTTATAGATTACAAAGTGATCTTAAATGTGAGATAATCTTATAGTAATAAATTATTGAGTACATGAAAGTTCATGAGGATTTGTCAGATGTAGAATATATGAGAGACAGGATGAGGAACTTAATTGTTTAGCAGAGAGGAGGAAAGACTCAAATGGAAGAGATGATTTAAGTCTTCAGATACCAGAGTCCTAATGTAAAGAGGATGATCTGTTCTCTCTGTTGGATAAGACCTAAGCACTAGGTTTAACTTCTTTTGAAGAAGATTAGGACCAGAGACAGGCAAGAATCTGGTGATTACCAGAGAAGTCCAGAGTAGTGAGGCAGGTCTGAGGTCAAGGCAGAAAAACAAGTAAGTAGATCAGGGCTGAGAACAGGATCAGCAAGATTCATGTCCAGGCACAGGTGTGCCAGCAGTGCACCCTAGGCAAAGGCCTGAGCTCAAATTCAGCTCCTGAGCCAAAGGATGGAGGCCCTGGGTGAAGCATCTGCCAGTTCTTTTCCCAGTAGTCACACCCTGAATTGCAAAACTGCAGTGTACTAGATTGAATCTTCACTGTCGACAGGTGAAGCCCTTGGGAGAGCAGGGAAGAGCTGCAAAACTCATTGGCATGATTCAGGCCCTGACATTGAGTTAGATATTAAGAAAACATTTGCTGAAGAGAATTAGTGTGATAAATTGAAGCATAGTTGTTTTTTCTTTTGAGAAGAGGGACTGGATGATGTGTCCATGGTATCTCACAGTCACATTTCCTGTGGTGCAGGCGAATAGAAGCCTTACTAAGACAAAAATACTCACCCCACCTGTTGCTGAAATCACCCCAGTTAAGTGGCCCTTGAAGGGGGTTGGTTTCTGTGTTTTTCTAGGTTTTCTGTTTGGGATTCCTGTAATCCTGCTCCTTGTTACTGCAAGTTAGTTGTAGTCACACATTTTGCATGTGCTGCCAGTGTTGGGAAAGGAAGCATATATTTAAGTAAAATCTCATCTAATTCTTGAATAGAAAATGAAGAATTAATTAACAGACAAAGCATTTGTGGCTTAAATTGGTCTTCAGTTGCCATACAGTAGTCAGGGATAAAAATATCTTTTTACAGAACTACAAAGTTATTTAGCAAAACCTATGTGGAAGTAAATTCTGTTTGGGATCGGTCTTCATACCTTAATTAATAGTGGGGATCTCACACTGAATATTCAGTAAGCTTAATTAGGTTGCTATGGTTCCATTAAGGAGGAAATTAATTAGTTCCCTCCTGGTTCATAAATTCAGTTGTTTAGACAATTTTTCAGGTTGGAGTAGACTTCTCATTCCAATTTTTGATTTTGACAGCATGATCTCTGGGAGTTTAGTGTCTTCAGTGCAGATGATATTCAGAAAGAACTTCCTATCAATGTTTCAAGCTCTAAGCAAAAGCTTTCAGATGGTTTTACCTGCACTAGCTTGGAACTTTTTGAGAGGGAAAGAGTAGACTCTTGGAGTTAGATTATTTAAGAAATTAAGTCCTTTTTCAGAGCATGGAAGCGGGTTTTTTGCCAAAAAACTGTTAATATTGTTCCTGCTTATTTTTCATCCTGTCTGGCATAAAAAGGCAAAAATGATATGTGAAGACTGTGCTAAGGGCACTAGAAGACTTTAGCCCAAATTAGATCTCTTTTGGCAGATGAATGATTTGACAGTGGAGGAGTGTAATTTGTTGCAGAAGAATACTAGTAACTCTGGTTGCTCTCCTCCAATTTCCTGTTGTAAAACAAAATGATTATAAAGAAAAATCTGAAGTGCAGCATAGTAGGAATATCTCTAATTATTATCACAATCACAGCCTTTTGAAATTGTACCATAGCATTAAAATTATTTATGACACTATTTTCGTAAAAATAAAAGTATCTCTTAAGAGCCTTTACTCTTGGAGATGGCCTACTTTGAAGAAGGCAATGTTCAAATAGCTGCCATATGCAAACCAATAAGTTCAGTCTTCCATTTCCCTAGCTTCCAGTTTGGTGAAAACATTCAGGAACTGTCCAGTTGTTCAAGATCTATAAAGTTACTACGTGAACTTTATTCTCTGCAGGTAACTTACAACCCTCTTTGAAGACGGTTAAGACACCAGAACACTTCAAGGAGGACAGTTCAGAAGCTTCAAGTCAGGAGGAAGGTAGTTGTGTACTCAAAGGTGGTTCTTTCAGATATTTTACCACACTCAGTTCTGGAAATCATACACTTGACTGATTTCTCCATTGGTATAAAGTGGTACAAAAATTGAATTAAATCTGCTATGCAAATGAAGGATTTTTGTGTACTTTCAGCAGTTAAGAGGTTGTTCTATATCTCAAGAAGTGGCAGCATTCTTAGACAGCTTGAAGGCAGAAGTTCACAGCTGTGTTGAACAACCAGGAATATATACTTCACAATTTACTTAAGCCAAGATTATTTATAGACTTTCATGTCTTTACCTATTTATTCTTCAGTTACTGGGATTCAGAGTTACGTGCAGCATTTCAAGGGTATTTCAAGACTGTTTTACATTAAATATGCAGAATTTGTCTAGCTTCTAATTTTACACAGAAAAAATTTTCAAGTTTTCCTCTTCTTATTCTTAACCTATGCTGCTTTGATACCCTGGACTGTTACTAAGGTTGGGACTGTAGTGAGTATTGATTACAGTCTGAAAGCTAGTGTTTTTCAAATGCCTCAAAAACAGCTCACACATGGAAGCAGCAGCCTGGTGACTGGTCAGTGGTTTCATTCTGAAAGGAACAGCAAGCCAGTTTTGCATTGGTTTTAGAAGGAAACAAGTACAAACTCCTGGTAGGTGGAAAGGATGGGAAAGGGGACTGATGGGTGAACACGGACCACTGAACTCTTTAGCTGGCTTTCAAGTAATGATAGCAGTCTTACGCTCTTTCACATTAATAATTCATAAGAAGTTTGCTGTTGAACTTCTGTGTATTCGGTAATCTACATATGCAGTCTGAACAGCTTTTTCTTATCAAAATAATCATTGCCATATTATTAAGAATACACCAAGAATTTTCACCAAGTAAATTTACAATATAGTTGTTCAATAATTGTTCAAATAGTCTTTTATATACTGCTCTTAAAAATATATAAATCTCGTCATCTGGTGAAATTACAAATGCATTTAAGAACACTTTTTGTGCCATTTTAGTGAAGTGTTTACCAGAAGTTTAATTTTTTTTTTTTTTGTCAAATTTTTAAACCATAATTTAAACTTAGGTGTAGCATTGACAGGAGTTCAGGCAAAATCCTAAGTACCAAGAATACTAAGATTATCAATAGTTGGAATTAAGGAAAGTTGCTTTTGTTAAAATTTAACAGTTGTCTTAAAAAAACCAGTAGACTATGTCTCTAAAGATCTCAGTTTTTCTTCATAGACTCTTAGAATGATTTAGTTTGGAAACAACCTTAAAGTTCCAAACCACCTGCCTCAGGCAGGGAGCCTTCCACCATACCGGGTTACTTGGAGCCCCACCCAGCTGGGCCTTGAGGCCAGATCTCTTTTTGTCAGGTGTAATTTGTAAAGCTTTACTTGCCCGGTGAATTTTCAGGTTCAGAATGCAGTACTTTAGTGTAGGACTTGTCTTTGTTTGCTAGTCAGAATATGTGATATAGTTTTGAGATTAATTTCAGTGTTCAGAAGAAATTACAAAATGTTGTCTTTTTTTCTGACTCATTCCTTTCTTCTCTCTCTGTTCTTTCATACTGGGTGATATTCAGTCATGCATTCAGTACTTAGAATTAAATATAGAGGTGAGCAAACATTGGCATTGTCATAGTTCCTCTCTTTCTGTTGCATTCTTCTGTGAAATGGAAAGTAAAGAGTCTTCTTTATATAATCTATACAAACTGATTTGTCTTCTATGCAATACCTGCTAATTTCAACACTGTAAATTAAGCCTGACCTGTTTAATGAAGATGTCTTCTGCTATGTGCCTGGTAGTGATGAAAAGATGAATTTGCTAGATTGATTTAAAATATTAAATGGAATTTCTGTTGAAATAATGCTTTGGGTTTGTTGTTTTTTTTTCCAGATGTAATGCAACACACAGCAGTTCACAAGAAACATAATGGAAAAAGTCCTGTTGCCAAGTAGGTACTAGGGTGTAATGTGACCATGTTGTATGTCTGAACTTCCATTTGTTGGTGCTTTGAGAGTATGTGTCCTTCTAGATTAAATCTTCTTTGTGGAGCTTTTGTTTGTTTGTGGTGGGCTGTTCTGGTCTTATTTTTGTCATTTCGGAGGTTGTTACTAACTTCATAACTATAAGAAAAATAATTCAGAAGACCCTATTTCTAAATCTGTCAGTCTAGGTCATTTGGATAGCTCTTCTTTCCCAAATTTTGTGACCCTTCACTATTTGAATTGATGTCTTGATTTGTGTTTATAAGATATTACATGCCATAATCTGTATGGCGTGTATCTTTTCTATGTGCACATACCCCGATACTTGTACTGAAAATTTCCAGTGCTATTGATTTGAAGCCTAAGTAACCTCAAAGAGGAGCTTGTAGGACAGGGTAGTCCATTCTTGCCCTTGCTTACTGGCAAATGCACATACACGTTGCTGGTTTGTGTCCATTTTAAGTGGAAACAGTTCCTAACTATATTAAAGGAGTTTATATATGCCTTCAGATCCCTGAAGTACCTAATCTGAATTCACTCATTAATGTATTTTGATGAAAAACTTCAGGTATGTTTGCACATAGTTGTGCATAATTCAACTAAATTAAGGGAAAGAAATGGATACAGAATTTATTGTGATTTACAATTTTGTTCAGTGTTGATTATCTATCTGTAAAAGGTATTTATCTTGTGGTGAAAATTTACCTGGAATTCCAGTAATTAGAATATAAACATAGCACAGTGTTGGTTAAGGTACAGAGGTAACAGACAAAATTCTTGTGAACTCACCACAAGACAACTTAGTGCTTTGTGTCTGTTTTGGTTTTAAACTGTTCTACTTTCAGCTTATATTTCCTCAAGAAGAAAGTGTAAACTTGACAAAATCTGTGATTACAATGATAGATACATAGTCTACTATAAAGTCATTAGAGCAAGATCCAAATTTAGTAGCTTATGGTTATTAATAAAGAAATTGTCTTTTTTTTATTCATTGTATAATGAATTACACTAAGGTTGACCATAGTTTAGGGTCTATCTTTCAGGTAGGAAAGAGAGGGATAGACATTTCCACAAAGTTCTGGGAAAGAAACTTCTTTAGCTAACTATTATCTTCTGTTTATTTAAGAGGGGGAAATGTGTATAGCAATATCCAAGGAAACTTTTCCCTCAATTACTGTTTTCTAGAAATTCTGTTGTTCTGAATTTTACATCAAACTGTAGTAGACAAATGAAAAAGGAACTCCAGTTATGGTCAATCATAAGTTTAGAGCACAAGAACTGCTGTAATTTAGATATTTTAAATCTCTTGAAAATTCCTAGGGTTTTCTAAAAGCAAAATTTCTCATAATGCAAAACATGTATGTTGTTAAGAAAAGCCTGCAGATTTCTTCACATCAGCATAACTTTTGGGGCTTCTTTTTTTTTTTTTCAGCAGCACTAGCAGTGCAAAATGTTCTTCACTGGATAGCCTTAACATTCAGCACTCAGAGCAGAATGGGGTAATGGACTGGAGAAGGAAAAGCTGTATTGTCCAGCAGCACCCAGAGCACTGTACTAACCTACTTGACCAGGTGTGTTGCTGTTTATTCTTTAAAACCATATTCCAAGAAACATAAGACTGTCCATGACACGTGATGAGATTTAGCTTTAAAAGATGAAAAGTGCTCCTAAAATTGTACAAACTAAGTATTGAAGTTGCTGCTGACTTGCCTTGATTAGAAAACCCTCCGTAATTCCTTACCACTGTCTGAGAAAGCTGAATATTTTGTTTATAAATTTGTAAATAAAATTTCCCAGCAGAATGTAAGTAATCAGAAAAGTCTAATGTTAATTTGTAATCAGACATTTTCCTGTTACTGTAGCATTGTCATCAGAGAGGATTCCAGAATGCTTGGGCAATTTCTGTTATTGCATGGAACAAACTGGAAACAGTATTAATAGCTAAACTGTATTAATGCTACAGTAGGTACAACAGGTTAAACATATTCTTTCTATCTTACCTGCATTATTTAAATAATTATATTTGAAAAAAGTTAATAGATAGATGCATATACACTTTTTCTGGGATTTGTGTCTCTTCAACACTCAATCTCATTGTGAATATAGGTAAACAGAACAATTGTTTATAAATAAAATTATCTACTACTGAAATTGGGGGAAGGAAGCTTGCTCACTGCTTATACATGAAAAACACATAATGTTAGAATTATTTAATATTACTTTCATTTATGTTTGGAATTTGGAATACCAAGCCAAACAAAATTAGTTTCCTTATTCCATAAAGCAGGGTAGTGAATTGAGGTTGGCTTTTAAAAATGAAATGGTGGGCTGCATCAAAGCTTGAAATACTGCCAGCTTGAAGCAAGAAAACGTTAATTTACTAAAGCACAGGAAAAGCTATTTAAAGGAAGCCCAGATACAGTGATTTAGACAGAGATTATTTCAGAATTTTCATAAATTTTACTTCCTTGCCAAATATGAGCTGTTAATAACAGTTATTGATAGCATACTTTAAAAACTGTGTTAAGTCCTGTGTTTTTTTCTTATATGCTGTATTCTAGAGTTTAGTTTAGCAGCTTAAACCTCCAGTTTAAAGCTAGGTACCTGCTCGTCACTATGCAGAAATAATTTGTCACATGTATTTCTCACCACGAACTATCAAATAATTCCATTTTTAACAACAAATTTTGTAGCTCCTTAAGCTTGGTGATTGGCCTTTTTCAGCAGGTATGTGCTGAAATGCATTTGTTTTTATCCTCTGGAGGAAGAACAGCATGCAAACAATAATTTGATGGATATCTCTGGCATACTTGCAAGTAGTAATTTGCTGCGTGTTTCTCTGATTCTCGTGTAAACACAAGACATGGTGCATTATTTTACAGGCTCAGATGTACTGAACAAGTGGTTGTTTGGGTGGTTATAGCACCTGTTAGCCCACTACTCTTGGACTTGAGGACCTGTGGGTCTAGAAGGGCTGTTGTCTTGGCTTTCATAAAATTTCTGTTGTTTGACCGGTGTCTTTGTATTTTCTGTCTAGCACACAGTGGAAAAACGAAGTCTGTCTACAGTAAGCAAGAAGAAAGGAAAGCCACAGCTGGAAAAGTAGGTTTCTAATGTAACTGGTAATCCAGAAATGAAGTGTAATGCATTCGCTCTGATAAACAGAGTCTGCAGTCAGTTAGGTGCTTTCATTTGCTGTGCTGGCACAAGACTGCATAAAAATCCTTATTTTATTTTCTGTAAAGAAGTAACTTGAAAAATAGAATTTTAAGTGAATGCATTAATTTCTAAAAATATCGCTTGGCATTTAATTAAAAGATGAAGAAATGGAAATATGTTCTTAACCAATACTAAATTGCCTTTTCCCCTTTATATTTATTTGAAACTTAAAAAATGTAAAGCTGTCCAGAATATACTGAAAATCAAATGAGGCTTGATGGCAACCTTTAACATTATGAAGTGAGTGGTAACTGGCTGAAACATCTTATTGAAGATAATTTGCACATCAGAGGGCTTCAGAACTTCCAGCAGGCTACACAACTCTGTACTGTGAGAAGTGAAAGCACTTCCACCCTTACCTAATACTCTGCCTACTTCCAAGTTTCCAGATGCTATTACACTAAACTGGTGTAGGGCTGCATTACACACATCACCTTTCAAAAATGACTTTACTGTTTGCTGCTCCTGTTCCTTTTTGGTGTCCTTTCTTATATAGATCTTTATTCATAGTATTTAGTAATGCTGCTTGTAGCTTAGTTCCTGGTATATTGCACCAGCAGCCTCTATTTAATTGTTTATTATTTGTTGTTATAGCTATTAAATTTGCATTTTTGGCCTGGTGTCACTGCCTTTGTTTCCAGTGTCATTCCATGTTCATTCATGGTTGGTTATTTGTGCTCATGCATTTGCAAAGAAGCCATGAAATTTTTTACACAGGGAGAAAGCAAAGAAAACTGACTGCAGGTTGACTAACAGGAGCAACGGAGTTCGAGTTGCAGCATCGCAGCACATCCGTACTGGGACAGCAAAAGGTAAGGTGCTTTTTCCAAAGCTGTTGACTTGCAGTTGATTTGTTCAGGGTCTTCTGTAAAGGGGAAGGCGCAAGTCTGAAAAATGTTCTGGTGCAAGTTGGTGTATTGGCAGTCTAATCTATGCTTCGTCTTGCTGTATAGAACGTGCTAGACTCAGTCTTCTGTATCCAATTGCTTGGGGTGTGTGTCTTCGTGCATAGGTGGCAAAATACTAGTGAAGTCTGCGTGAGTTGACTTATGGGTGGAGTAATTGCAGAAACAGCTGCTGTTGGGCTACTGCTGTGGACATGGAGCATCTTGCCATTAGTGTGCTCTTAGCAGCCTACTAGTTTCTTCATCTGTTTTGTAATGGCCCACAAGAAACCTGTATAAAACCTGTGGTGTGAACCACTGATGAACTGTAGTGTTTAAACCAAGTGACCACTGAGCTACAATGCAGAACTGTGTATGCTGCCCTAGCAGGGTTTTCAGTTTAGGGTAATCCTAAATGTAGTGTCTAGGCCAAGACTTATGTACATCAGTCAGTTGTAAGAAAAAATTATATTTGTGTACCTTTAGTAAACTGAGTCTCCAAGCTTTATACAAATTTCTGAAGGTCTGTGCTACCCACTGACTACACCATCTTGATGTTTTCTAAATTTCCACTATCAGTTGTGACCTTGCCTTACATGTAGTTCTTGTGACAGAAGGTTGACAAAGAGTTTGCCTTTTTTTACATCATCTATTTGGCATAAGTGTTGAAAGGACTTTTAAAAGTGCCTTGTCATTGTTGCTTCCATACAATCTTGATTAAGCTTTCATTCTTTCTTCTCACCTTGGAGAGTTCCAGCTGGATCTGGTTTGGAATTATTGACATGTTTTATGGGCAGGTGTTTTTACCTTCTACAAACAGCATTTGAGTAAAACTTAAGAACTCACTGTTCACAGTCTTAGCAAAAAAGATGGAAAGCTGTAGTTAAGGGCCATTAAGCAGAAAACATACTCTACAGCAGAGTTCTGCTGCATGCATTTCTGATTGGTTAATGTTTTTGTTGTCAGGCAAAGCGCACTGAGTTTTATGAACTGACAATGACTTCAGGAGGTGATGCAGTGGTGTTTAAGGGGAGACCTTATCATTCTCTACAGCCACCTCAAAGGAGGGTGTAGCCTGGTGGGGATCGGTCTCTTCTCCCAAGCAAATAGCAACAGGACAAGAGGACACAGACTTAAGCTGTGCCAGGAGTAGTTTAGGCTAGACATTAGAAAAAACTAGACATTAGAAAAAAATTAATCACAGAAAGAATGACTGGGCATTGGAATGGGCTGCCCAGGGAAGTGGTGGAGTCACCATCCTTGGAGGTGTTTTGAAAAAGACTGGATATATGACACTTGGTGCGATGGTTTAATCGATTAGGTGGTGTTAGGCATAGGTTGGACTTGATTTCAGAGGTCTCTTCCAACATAGTTGATTGTCTGATTCTGCAAAGTTAGTAGGGAATGCTTTTCCGTAGGAGTTCTGTTTGCTCATTACCCACCATTCTACAGGTGTGAAACTGCCTCCTGTGAAACTGTTGGCTGGTTCAAAAAGCAGCTGTAACCCACAGGCTGGAAGCCATTAAATCCTGCTCAGACACGAGCTTTCAACCTACGTATAAATATCAAAACGTCTTTTGAGATACTTATTGGAGAAATAGTCTATGGGAAAAATAACAGTCTGAATCTCTGCCTAGGTTTATATATCCAGGCTTTGTCTGAAATGCTCTGAGTCTGTAATTCTTATCCTCATCATGTTTTCTTTCATTTTTTCCTCCCTATTATGAACTTGTCTGAAGCATTAGTTAGTTACAATGGTAGCTTGTAAGACTGGATACTTTGTGATTAGTGCTTTAGACTCTGAGTCTTAGTGATCTCAGGTTCTCAGTAAGGCTCTAGTTTATATTAGACATTCAAAGTACTTGTTAAAATAATTTAAGCAATTATAGGTTTAATTCAGGAAATTATTTCAATAATTGAAGCATTGAGGCAACTTTTTAGTGAGCCATCCCAACCTGTTAAACTTCCAGTAGCAATAAAAACTGGGGAAAAAATTAGAAATTATTATCATAATTAGTTCTAATTTTTGTCCTGAGGTTTTGCTAACTGAGGTTTTGTGGGCTGAGGTTTCCATCTTGTGTCTGTCATAGATTCTGAGAGAGGGTGCGTTTGTCATTCTTCGTCCCCTCTGAGGCTGAACTTGAAAGCAAAACCATAGTAGCTATCCACCCTGAAAGGTGGTTTCCAGCATGATGGTTTCTCATGATCTATTCAGAATTTAGAAAACAGTTTACCACTTTTTCAGTTCACCTATTTTTCTTTAAACAGGATTTGTTGAGTTTGGTTAAAGCCTGTTCTAGAGAGTGAGTTGTGGAGTGGTGCATTGTTTTGCCATGTCCTGCTGAGTTAGCTTCCTGCCTGTGCTGGTGTCACCGAGGAGCGCTTGCAGCTCTGCCAGCAGAAATGCTGGATCTCTGCCATTCAGAGGAAACCAGTGTTGTAGTACAATCCAGTATAAACATCACAGGAATCATTTGAGATCATCATTCTTTTCACTGCTTTGCATAAATATCAATTTTCAGTATCACCTTCTTTAACACCAAGGATTTACTCATCACAAATTTAGGGATGAGACCAGTCCTGAGTGCTGGAAATGGAAGCAATAGGAATACAGGGGACAGATGCAATTAAGTAGGGACAGGTGAAAATCTCAACTAGTGAGAAATGTGAGAAAATCAAAATAACCTCACTTCCATGCACTGAGATCAAAAATAAAACTGACAACTTTTATTTTTAGATCTGAATTTGGATGCTGGATCTGGTCATGATACGTGTGGAGAAACATCATCTGAAAGTTACAGCTCTCCTTCTAGTCCACGACACGATGGACGGGAAAGCTTTGATAGTGAAGAAGAAAAAGACAGAGGTTGTATTTACAGAGAATGTACATGAATGCCTTTATTCCTAGACTAATCTCTTTCTTACATTTATTTTAGTTTGTTTTTCAGTTTGATTAGGTACTTTATTTTCTGAACTAGCCACAGAATACATTTTTCTTTGTGGATTTCATGACTGGGCAGTCTGAGGGCTTCTAGCATTGTTTAAATACCAGAGTTTTAGGTTACTAAACCTATGTCATAATATTTTGGCCTCAGTGATACAGCTCTCTTGAGAAATTTCCACAGTACAATAACGTGGAAAACTTTGGCCTGAAAGGTGCTGGGTTTATATGAAATTATGTGTGGCATGTCTGGGAGCTCCTTCTTTTTGTACTGACAATTTGCCACTCCCTCCAAATTTAAATAATGTGTGTTAATATCTTTCTAGACAGATCCAAATTCCTAATTCACTTTGTGTCCTGCTCTTGACATTTGCAGATATGGACAAGTCAAAGACACAGTAGCTAATTAGGCAGGTGGATATAGGCAAATCATTAAGACGGACCTAGCTTAATTTGGATGAATGAAAAGAATCTTGAAGTTGTCACAGTTTAGGAACACATAACTATCATTCATGTCATCAAACTCAATAGGTTTTATATGGGTAAATGGGTCCAGGGCATGATTATCTGTTGCTTGAGATTAATTCTTCTGACTTACAAATGCTTTTGTCCCCACAGACACAGACAGCAATTCTGAGGACTCTGGGAATCAAAATACAACCAGGTTTACAGGCTACAGTGCTGTCAGCTCATCAAATATGAGCAAATCATCTGCTCAGATCTCTTCAGTGAATAATGAAAATGGGAACCTTTCAGAAGATCCTTTGAATGCAAAGTTTCAGCATATTTCCTTCATGCCTGCCTTACACTGTGTGATGCACAGCGCTGCCCAAAAGCCTGAAGCAGTTGCCCCACCACCCATATCTGCAGATGGTAAAACCATGGGAATGCTGGTTACCACGCCCGTCGCTATGTCACCAGTGAGAGAGGCTGCGAATTCCCCTCCTGCGGGAATGGGCCCAGTGACCTCTGGTGAACCTGAGAAACGCCTTGAGCTCATGGCTTCCCCTTTGCCAGTCCCATCCTCTTTCCTTCCACATTCTGTCCAGCCTGGTAGCCCTGCTTTGCATTTGGCAATACATAGGTTGAAAATCCCCTCTCCACAGGGATCATCGGAAAGTTGCACGGTTAATGGACCACAGCAGCCGACAGGAAACTTAAGTATTGGATCACCAAATACTGCCTTTATCCCAGTCCACAATCCAGGTAGTTTCCCAGGATCCCCAGTTCCTACTACAGATCCCATCACAAAACCTGCATCCCAGGTGGTAGGACTGAATCAAATGGTGCCTCACATTGAGGGAAACCCAGGAGCAATCCCTCAGCCTACCAATCTCAAGGTAGTTCTTCCAGCAGCTGGTCTCTCCACAGCAGCACCACCACCTCCACCAGCTTCGTACGCTTTGCCAGGCAGCCCTCATGCTACCAGTGTGTTGCCCAACCAGAATACAAACGTGCTGAGCACTGGAGCAACTTCCTCACCACCTCAGTCCGCTGGCCTCGGTGTTGGTCAGGTCCAGTCCACTGTTCCTCCTGCAATCCCAACGCACACGCCAGGCCCTGCCCCCAGCCCAAGCCCCGCTCTAACACACAGCACTGCACAGAGTGACAGCACATCCTACATAAACGCTGTTGGGAATAATAACACTAATGGGACAATGTTACCTCCACAGCAGCTGGGATCTGGCCCTTGCGGTTCTTGTGGACGTAGGTGTAGCTGTGGGACCAATGGCAGCCTTCAGATTAATAGCTATTTTTATCATAACCCACTTCATGGACAAGTCTACAGAGTTCCATCTTTCTTCACTCTGCCATCACTTTGCAATGGCAGCTACCTCAATCAAGCACATCAAAGCAATGGAACACAACTTCCGTTCTTCCTGCCTCAGTCTCCGTATGCAAATGGGCTTATGCATGACCCAGTGATGGGAAGCCAAGCCAACTATGGTATGCAGCAGATGGCAGGATTTGGGAGGTTCTATCCTGTATATCCAGCACCTAACGTAGTTGCCAACACAAATGGGTCGGGACCTAAGAAGAATGGGAACATTTCATGTTACAATTGTGGTGTAAGTGGACACTATGCGCAGGACTGTAAGCAGTCATCCATGGAGGCCAGTCAACAAGGTAATCACGATAACTCCCAGCGGACTTGCTTTTGAGTTTGGTAGTTTCTCTTTACCTTTCTGAATGTGCTGTTTCTGGTCTTGCAGAAAGGTGTGCGTGCGTGTGTATGTTTTGTGTAAATGGTTGTGCACTAGTGACCTGCTCTAAAACTGCAAAGTATCCTATCTCTGCCTGAAAATCTTGTAGAACAGTGCAAGGGAACGGGGTTCATAGCATGAAGTTGAAAATGAGTTCAGAGCTGGAAAGTAAAATGATACCAGTCCTAAATTGTCATTCTTTTTCCACTGGTTTGATTTTGGCATTATATTGAGACTTGCATGTTGTTTTAATTTTCCCATTCATTGGAGTGCTTTTTGAGAGAATTCATTGGCAAAAAGAAATCAGTTATTGTTTATGATATGACCTTGGATTCCTTAAACTTGAATTGAAAGAAATTGAAAGAATTGAAAGAAAAAACAATAGACTGGCCATTTGATATTTAATGTTTTCTAGGACTTACCTTTGCACAATCAGCCATCCTTCTGTGCCTCATGATGCAATACATTTAACTTTTCAGACAAGTTGCAGCAAAAAGGCAGAAACCAATTGGAGCTAAATATAAAAGGAATCGCTTCCATTTCTCTCTCCGTCCAGAAGAATGGGGAAAATGCAGGGTTTGCATCAAGCACAATCTATTTTTGTTCCCATTCTGACTTGAGTAGTTTGTTTGGACCAGAACAGGAAAGATGGACCTTGGTGGGGACCATCTTTTCATTTTTCCAGTAGAGCTCAAGTCCTGTATCTACACTCTATAACTTTTTTTTTAAACTTACAGTTCTAGCAAGAGGATGAAAGAAAATAGGATAAAGTCTGAGGACCTACTTTAAAAGGACTGGAGGATGATAGTGCCTTTTGAAGAGCATGTCCATTTTGATACCTTGTAGTGGTTTTGTAATCCATTTTAATTGTGAGCAGTGACTTAGTAGTTCTCTTTCCTGTTTTAGGCACTTACAGACTGAGATACGCACCTCCCCCTCCCCCTTCCAATGATACCTTGGATTCTGCAGACTGAAACAAGTAAACATTGCCTACTTAAACTGAAGCTTGGGAATTTGGGGGAAGGTGTGTGTGGGAGGGGGAGGTTGGTCTTGTGTTTTGGGACATTCCCGGTTTTATATTATTTTGGAATTTTTCATTGCTTTTGCACCTCTGTTCCGTACAAAAGAAGAAGGCTGAGTCCCTGGTCTCCTCCTGGTTCTACAAGAGGCTTGCATAATGCATGTAATTCACACACACAGCCAAACAATCAGACAGAGCATTTGAACCATGCTTTTGCACTGAAGACTTGAGACATGTGCAATGTTTACTGCAGTTAAAAAAAAAATCCTCTGACCTCTGACATCACTGGTGGAGCAGTCATATAGTGAAAGAAGAAACTTGGTCATGTTCCCCACCACAATCTTCTTCCCTCCCTCCCTGTTCTCCTTAATGCTGCTGTTTTCTTTACTTTCCCCAGTTGTTCACGTGGATTCGTTGGATTTGCATGAGTGTTTAGCAGTTCATACAGACCCTACCTGTATTCTAAATTTAATGCTTATTAATTGAGGGGAGATGTTCAAACATCCTGTTAGCAGAGTCCAAAGGAAAACACGATAGCGTATGTGTACTATACCTGATAATAATACAGATATGCAGCTCTCGAGAGGGCCAAACAAATACACAGAGCAGGAAGGGGCTGAAACTGTGTGGACTGGAACAGATTTAGAAAAATGAATGAGCTTAATTTGACAGGTTTTTCTTCCCTTGTAGCTTTTTAGCCTGTATGTTCAGCAACAAAGGTGAAAAAAATGGTATGAATGTTGTACTCAGTGTGTTTGCATTTGTAATGAAAGTTGACAGCATTTTTTCATTTTTAAAGCTATTCTTCATCGTGTCAACACAGAATGAACATTACTTGATTGAATATTTTTTTCCTAAACTATTACAGTGTTGCATTGTACTTAGAATGTAAATGTTTTATTTCAAACTGAACAAAAGCTATGGTTTTCTACAAAATAGTCAGGTATTAGTATTAGAACCTGTCTACCAAATAGGAAAGTCACTATTTTATAACAATTTACCACTATGCGTAATTACGGTATAATGTGAAAGACTGAAATGAGTGTTAAGATGGTATTAAACATGTCAGTATCATGAGTAAGTAAGTTTAATGCTGCTGTATTTTTTATTTTATTTTTAAAAGCCAATATATGTACTAAATTGCTTCCAGGTAATATTTGATTTCCTAAAGTGCACTGAGGTTATCTGGAAGACGAGTGTGTTTTTTGACTGCTGCATTCAACACCGATGAACAACTACCACTGTATATCCATAAGGTTTGGCATTCCTCACAGTTCATGGCAGAAATGGTTTTTTCTTAAAATCAGACCCGGTGTCCGGTAGAGGGATGAAATAAAAATCAATCTTTGGTTCAGCTGTCTAATAAATTGCTAAACAAACAAAAAACTTGAAGAAAAAAAAAGCTTGATTACTACATTTCTTCATAGATAGCATTTATATTTATAGCACCAGTGTACATTTTGAAACTTTTTTCTTGGGGGAGGGGGGAAGGGGAGGGAGGTAGATGAAAGCTTTAATTTAAAAAAAAAAAAAAGTTTAAGTAGTAAATGAAAATTATTTTGATTAAAATTTTTATTTGATCTGGGTATTTTTGGACCACATGAGATGACTGAACTGCGTTTGAGTTGAAGTGAGGGTGTTAAACCACCAATGGACTTGTATTGTGAATTACCTGCCAGTTGTACTTTATGGAACTTATTTTATGATTTAAAATACTGTACTGTAAATAGGAGGTATGTTACCTTCTCTTTATTTGTATGTTTACCATATACTTTGATATTTGAAATGTACTGGAAAGGTCACTTATATTTCTAGAAGAGATTGGATTTTATGCAACCTTTTTCCTTGAATTAACAGCAATAAAAAAAAAGAAAAAAAGTACCTGTGTGCATGTACTGTCTTTTATCACTGAGAATGATGAATTGCTGCTGCTGGGTATAGGGATTGGGATGATGGAGGGTTTTGGCAAGCTGCCATTTTGGTTGGAATTTATCACTTTTGAAGCAAAGCCGAGAATATTTGACTTAAACTGAGGTCAGTCTTTTTGTCTGAAGTCAAGATACTGTATCTCGATTTAAACTTCTCCAAGATGTAGGAGATCTGGTAGAAACAGGTTGCCCATGTGTGATAGGCCCAGGACTTGGACCTCAGCCCTTTCAGAACAGGTAAGTCTATCCTAATGTGATGGCTCCTGGATTTGGGCTAAAATCCAGGTTTAATGTACTGTTTTTTACTGCCATGCAAATAATGTGTGTCCTAGTCCTGTAGTGACCAGAAAGCAAGATCTTCTATTTCTAAAATAAAAGGAAGTTAGGAGTTGCTGGGAGTAGGAAAGAAGCTTAGAAAAATTTGCCTGATCAGGGCAATTGAAGGGTCTGCTAGGAATGCAGTGTCTGGATGTACTCGAGTTGCAGTTTATCTATGGAGCCAAGTGCCACAGACTACCTTGGATTTTTATCCCAGATTACTCCCCAGAACAACCTACTTCTGGAGGAACCAGTTCAGGTGACGAGGAGCCTGAAAGTTGCCATGAACCCAACCTTTCAGGCAGTTCCCATAATCGTGGTGGGGTTGAACCCAGGAGTCACACAGATGCCATCACACAGTTTCCATTACTGCAAGTGGCCCGTGTCCCTTCCCTGGACTCAAGGGAGTGCAAGTACCTGTCCAAGGAGTAAATGGTGATACTACTCTGAAAGTGCCGTCTGCTACTTTGAGTGCCATCTTTAGTCACTGGTACACTCATTTCCCTCTGTGCTGCAAGCAGCCCTGACTTTGACAGATGCTGCCTGGACTCAATTCAGAAGTGTAAAAATACATACCCTGTGGCACAGCAAGCAGCAGAAACACCTCATACTTCTGGCGCTTGATTTGGTGGAGAGCTGACAGCACTGGTACCTGGCTGTCCTCGCTGGCTGCACCACTGCTGTCTGTGCAGTCAGGTTTCACTCCAGCTGCAGCTCCAGAGATCCCCTCTCCAGCAGAGTGGCTTGGAAGCTGCTGAATGCCCAAAAGATAAATGAGAAAATCCCACTAGCTGATTGGCCTGAGCAGCTATCCAGGCTGTCCAGGAGTGACTCCTGAGTCAGCACTGCTCCTGGTTTGCAGTGCTGCTCTGGATTGGAACCATTTGGTTCCTAAAGCTGGAAGAAAAAAAGAAAAAAGAAGCAAACAAGGAAAAAAATGGAAAGAAGGAACAAAAAGGAAGGGGAAGAAGCAAGCCGCCTGCCGGGGCCGAAAAAAAGGCCCTGGTTTCCCAACCTAAATGACCTTTGGATGGCAGGGATGGCCTAGTGTCTAGGTCTTGGCTTAGCTGATACTACTGGAGAGAGGTGAAGGAACAGAGCATCTCTGTGTTCTGCCAAGGCAGAGGGGAAGCAAAAAGGTGTGGAAAGGTACATTGAGAACTGCAGAACTTGACTAGTGCCAAGCTACAGTTTTAGAGAGATGGAATTACTATTGTAGTTTTTTCAGCTTTTGTCATGGTGTGAGCCTCTGGAGATGTGCTGGCCTGGGCCTCCTGAGGCCTCTTTGCTGAAATAAATTCTGCACACAGAAAAAATGAACTTTGGCCAACAGAGCTTCCTGCTCAGGGCTGGTAACTGCAGCTGCTGGCGTAGGGCAAAATATATATAAAGGCCACGTGGACTGCCCTTGTGCTTGTGGGGAAGAAGAGGAATCCTAAAGGCACGGTCATGTGTTCATACTATAGCTGTCTCAGTTTTGTGGAACTGACCTATAGTCCTGTGCTCCTCGCATGAGGGAGGAAGGAGAAACACAGGAGCATTATGCTGGGGGAGCACATTGCCTTTCTGCCCATGGCCAAATTCCTCGACCACCAATCGGAGTAGAGAAGCAGGGTTATCATTTTGGACCAGCTTTTGAGCTGACAGCAGCAGACAAAGCCAAATTAAACTGTACATGTGGTTGGTTAGAGATCAGAATGTCTGAACCATTGATCAGTAGCAGATATTTCAGAATAAAGTACTTCTAATGCAAAGAAGAGAAAGACAAGTGGTAATTATTGCAAACGTTGCCTAGCAAAATAACACGTGCCAGGTTCATCCTCACAATAGGTGGCAGCATAACTCCACCAGTTATGGTGGTAAGAACCACTTAAGGTGACAGAAATCACAGAATTTTCTGAGTTGGAAGGGCCCCACAAGGATCATCGAGTCCACATAAATAAACCCACGACTTTGGTGTTATTGGCACCATGCTTTGACAGCTGAGGTAATCTCAGATGCTTCAGTTTAACTTGGTTTTAGCATCTTCATGCCATCTAAGTAAGCTTTGACTTTGATTTTGTAATGCTAGTTTGCTGAGTTTTCTCATGTTTATGTATTTTTTCACATGATGAGCATACTACTTGTTACCTCTCAAAAAAATAAGAATGGTAACTGTGTAGCCAGCAGATTGAGGGAGGTGATTCTGCCCCTCTGTTCCTCTGTGGTGAGATCCCAGCTGGAGTACTGTGTCCAGCTTGGGGACAGCTCACTAACTTAAAAAGGATGTGGACCTTAAGTCCAGAGAAGGGCCATGAAAGATGTTCAGAGGGCTGGAGCGCCTCTCCTGTGAGGAAAGGCTGGAAAAGGTGGGGGTGCTCAGCCTGGAGAAAAGAAGGCTCAGGGGAGGCCTTATCGTGGCCTCTGATACTTCAAGGGTGCCTACCAGGAAGGTGGTTTTAAACTAAAAGAAGGATGGTTTAGATTAGATATTAGGAAGAAATTCTTTACTCTGTGGGTGGTAAAACACTGGCATGGGATGCCCAGAGAGGAGGTAGGTGCCCCATCCCATTCAAACATTCAGGCTGGGTAGGGCTCTGAGCAACCTGATCTAGTGGAAGATATTCCTACCCATTGCATGGAGGTTGGAATAGACGACCTTTAAAGGTCCCTGCCAACCCCAACCAGAGCTAGAACAGCCAAGGTGTCATAGCAAATATTGAAGACACAGAGAATTGCAGCCGGATGTGGAAGCTGTGTCTTAAGAACTATTGAGGATTAAAATGGTTCTAGATGCTTGCATTCATACAATGAGAATTGCTTTCTGAGCACTGTGAAGCTTTTTTTTTTTTCCCCCCTGGGAGTAATTCCTGAGGCAGTCTGAGGTTATCTTTGAGGATAATGTCTTACTTACCTCTCTCTACTTAGCCTGAAGGTCCACAGATCAGACATTTATCTGGAATATCTCATGCTCGGGAACATTTTGCCCAAGAGACAGAACATAATAAAACTATTATTTTTAATGTTGATATGTGTTCCCTGACTGGTGTACAGGGTCATTGTTACACGAATGAGTCAATAGCACAAGGTACAAAAGCAGAGGCTGAGAAGTACTGAACTTGGAAAAGGAAAGCTGTATCTTAACCACTTGTACATTCATCTTAGAACTTTCCTCTGATCTAAAATGTCCATTTTTTATTGACTTTTAAAGTATGCTTTTTTCCTGAGGCAGAGGATTTTGGAGATGGATACAAAGATAAAAATTAACTCCTACCAATGCTCATTAGTGTGACTACAGAAATATGGGGATTGTTGCATTAAAAGCTTACTTGTCACTTAGCTTTGGTGTTAAAATACTGCTTAGGAGCATCTTTTAAAAATATGGGATACATAATAATATATAATTTATATAATCAAATATTAAATTAAAATATTCTTTTACATAATTTGTAGTTTGATGCCATTTCAACATCTTCAGATTTTTTTCTTGTTTTGACCAAAACTAAGATTTGAAACCAATGGCGTGTCTAGGCTGAGTAAATATAATGTATAAAAGTAATTGTGTTGCTATCAGAATGCTCCTTTCCTTTCTGTAAAATGTTTTTTACAGGATATGTACATGCCTCAGCAAAAGAGCAGACAGCTTAGTAGCTGCAAGACTTCTGGATGAAAGCATCATGGGACTTATTTCAATTGCTCCTTTAAGACCAGATTGGCTCTGAGGTCCATCTTGCCAAGGCCTCCTGGGTATTTCAAACCAGGCATGTAAATCCTGGCCTATGTCAGTGTACAAAATAAAGATCACACATGAAAAGAGCAGTAACATGAGGGGAGGAGGGCAGAGGAAAGCAACAGCAGCACCAAAAAATAGGAACAGGCATTGGGGAGAGACAATTTCCACACATCACTTGATTTCTTACCACAGCTCAGATCAATTTCATAGCACAGAACTTCAAAGAGCAGCTGCATCAATTTGGTACAAAACCAGCTGAATTCTGCGTGTCACCCCAGTGCACTTGTCTGGATCAGACACATGACAGAGGAGATGAGCCCTTCCAGCAATCTGCACAGGGCTGAGTTATGTGGACCTGGGACAGACTAGAATCATTCATTCAAAACCTTATAATGTGTTCATAATTGTTATGGCTACAGAGAACTAGCTAAGACACTCTTCTGAGTGTTGTCTCCCTTTGATTTTTTTTTCCATTTCTCATTTATTTGTTTGCTGGAGGTTTTTTTCATCTCACTTTTGCCCTGGTTAGCCTTTCTCTTTTCCACATGTGCTAAAGCCATGCACATGATGAAGGTGACAGAGATTGTAATGTTATGGTTCATGGCCTAAACATTGTTATGAAGGACGTGGAGGGCCATTTGAAATGCTTTAATCTGTGACAGGGAAACTCCCAAATGATAGTACGACTTGCTAATTAAAAATAAAATAACCCCTGCAAGGGGGTAGCTATCAGAGTCTGAGCCTGTGCCAGCGCCTGCCATTGCAAAGGCAGCTAAATGGGAGCTGGGACTTTGCACTGCACACTGAAAACACATTTTTCTTCCTTTCTGAGGAAGGATATCTCATTTCTAGCATGTTCTTAGTTGGAGGAGGCAAAGAACAGGATGTTAATTCATAGTTAAACAGGAAAGCAAATGTGCTTG